ATCAAAATATTATTCTTAAACTACTAGAAATTTAGTGTTTCTAATCCCAAGAGGTTTTGTCGAAGTAATTAGATTCACTGAAAGTATCGAGAAATCTTAGTTTATAATAGTTTTCACAAATCTTTCCTGGATATATATTTTATTTTATATTTTTTGCTTGTGTATAATACAAATCTTAACTAAATATTGGACCACATAATATGGACTGATATGATTATAATTATCCCATTTGCCAAAAGCGATTCACTCAAGCACTGCAATCAAGGGCAAAAATTTCAGTTTGCCTCGTTTTAATAACGATGTAATTCAAAGAAATGCAGCCATCGTTATTTTACATAATAGGATATAGGTAAATGCCTTGGCATTCACGTATAATGAACTCAGTTAATCAGTTAAAATGTACCGATATCAAATGGAATTCCTTTAAGTAGAAAACGTGAAGCTTAGATATGTTACTCTATAGGGCACTGACAATATAGAAGCTACTCCTCTAAATAGAATTTTAGTATAAATAGAAGTCATTTGTTATTGTAACAATATTATTATACAAAAATTTATGTATTTTAAATGAGGGTGTAAAATTATTGTGTATCGAATGGAGCTTAGTAATAATATCAATAGCTATTTAAAAATACTAGATATTTATCTAAAAATTGATAAATTTATTCCATAAAAATTTTACACGTATATCAGCATACTGCTATTTTCCTGAATATATTTATTGATATACCCCAATATGTCTGAAAAGTCAGGTTTGCGCTAGGATTGCATTTAATTATGCGAAAAATATATGTCGAATAAATGTGCACAATGTAAATAAACATTTTGTTCTTAGTAAAAGAATTCTTAAAAAAATTGACGTGAAGAAAGCAGGAGAATCAACATAATTCAAAATTGTTTGATATATGTTCCAACTCAAAAACTTGTATGATATGTAATTCAAAAATTAGAAAAATATACCATTAATGTGATTATGAAAAATCAATATTATAAATAAATATTACGAATATTTCATTGCTCTTAATTTCTATCTACATTCCATATATTAATGGAAATAAGAATTGTATAATTTTTCACATAGAAGTTATGTGTTACAATTGTTGGTTTATATAAAACTCAAGTATATGCATGAACATATATCATTCCATATACTTCATTATTTAAATGTTTAATAATATATTTGAAAAACACTGAATGAAAAGACAAAACAAAAGAGGGGCAAATACAACAAAGCGAGTTGTTGTATAGTAGTTCACGAATAAGTTCGGAGTAAAATGAAAGTAGAAAAAATGTGTGTTATAATATTAAAGAATAGATTTAAATACAAATACTTATAAAAATTATAATAGTGTATTATAAAAACTATATTAATTTATTTTTATTTAAATGTAAAACACAATTGTGGATCATGTAAAAATTTAACTGATATAAACACCATCACTTTATAAATTGTAAATAAAATTCCAGTAGAAAATCGGTTAGCAAAAAAATTAATTTTATCTTATTTTTCTTATAGACAATATTTAAGACTAGAACTAAATGAACATCAGTATATATGCTTAAAATATTTAGTAAAGCACCTTTAATTTAAGTGTACGAATAATATGAAATATTATACTTGAAATAATTCCAGAAAGCTGAACAATTATTTATGCACTCTTTATTCTAGGACAAGAACCAACATAAATAATTGTTTATCGGTTTAAATATTTATTTTAAAATATATATAAAAACACTATATATAGAATATAGAAAATGCATAAAATCATACAATAAAATTATATCTATTAAAAATTCATTAATAAAATATCAATATGATGAAGTTTTTGTTGTTACAAGAACAAGTCTTTCATTTTGATCAGTCGATTTTATTTATGAAAGTTTACATTATCATATCAGATAATTTTGGCTTTTGAAAATATATTAGAAAAATTCAGATACGGTCTAGATTGAAACAACTATGGCAATAGGTATAAAAATATTATATATACATATCCTACTTGTTATTGTATTTTAGCTAATCACAGTTTCTAATAGGAATTCCACACACATATGTATCGTGTTCTTACTCATTATAGTACATTCTTTTAAGGGTTCTATATTTTTTCAGCATATATAATGCCTCTATTTCCTTTATAACATATTCTCCATGTGTTAATCATTGTTTCAATTTTATTTGGGTCTTTTTCATCCTTATTTCAAAAAACACAGCCTTCAAGCGACTGTGGAATTTTTCAGCACCACTTGGCCAATTATTACCTAAATAGTGCAACTGTAAATAATAGTTGCAGGTAATTAAAGTTACTTACGACAAGGTAAGTGATCATGTGAATTATTTTAGTGGTACTTACAGTTTTGTATAAATTAATTACACGGCTTCTTTGAGTATTCATGTTGTATTTATACTTGTCCAAAGTCAGCTGTCAGATGACATTTGTTTGTTATCAAATTCTGACAGTAGGTTGGTGAAACTGTTTGGCTTTGCAGATGTAGCCAACCATTTTAAGGGGAAACATAATATTTATTTTTGAACTTGAGAATTCTTCTTTCTGCTCAAAATCATATTATGTAATTTTAATGTACATCAGATAAATAGAAATAGTTCTACATTTTCTATATACAGATATGGAAAGAATTTCAGTCCAATTTGTGATACTGTCTGAAATCTGCACAGTATTTTTTTTGATATATGATATAAATAATATATCAAAATAAGAGTAAGCAAAAATAAATTTGCCTCAAAATGTCATTTAATTTGACCAGAAGTTCGGAATGAATGATAATAAATTGGATGCATTCGATTATGATTTTAAAATTTTCATGTAATATTTCTTTATATACTTATTATAGTATATGAAGTTATTTTGAAATTAATGAATGAATTGGATGCATCTTTTTAATTATAATTTTATAATTATCAACTATTTGTAAATATGCTCTGCTAGAAGTAAATATTATTTACTAGTTGATTCAAATAAACTTGGGCTTGAATTGGGCCTGATATAAAATACATGTACATTAAATGATATAAAATACATTTCATGAATGAATATAACTATATATTAAAAATACAAAAAAATGTACTATAAAAAAGGTGGATTTATGAAATTCAAAAAAATAAATTATTTGTTATAAAACAGGGGCATTTTTCATTTGATCATTTGAAAAGAAATTATATTTTGCTTTCTCAAGACAACTGATATGCTTGAAATAAATAAAACATATCTAAATTAAACTGTATAAATAAATATTAAAATATAGAAAGAAACAGTATTGCCTTTTCATGATAGCCATAGTTCAAAGCAAAAAAAAATTTATTTGCTTTTTGTTCAACACTTTATTCACATATTTGCAGTGATTTATAAATTAGTTCTATGAAAATTAATAATAATAAATCAATTAAATCAAATTTAAGTCATATTAAAGAAAAATCATATTTATTGTTCGATAAATTGTTGCCAACGCCATCAAGCATTTGTTGGCAGTATTAATAGCACGTGTCGCAATATGAAGGTGACTTTTATAAAACAGCCGTAGATGAAAACTTGTTTATTTAAATCATTATTAATTAATTGTGCAACATATGCCCGTATTTTAGGAGGAGGTTTAATTGTAGCCTAATATAAAAATGTTTACACCATAAATCATTTAAAAAAAATTCGAACGAACAAGATCTTTGGGCGATATTTTGTTCCAAAGAAATTGGCCATTTTGTGTAATATTAAAACAAAAAATTTGTATATACATCTCACACATTTTGTTTGAAAAGATCCCTAAATATGGTTGTATAATTTTTGCCTTATATCATTTCAAAAAAAAAATCTGTTTTATGCATCAATTTCAAAATATTTAATCCGTATAACATAAATAATAATTGCGCAATAAATATTTGTGTATTGCAAGTACTTACTCAAAAGCCGCCATTTTAACATAAAATGTACTTATTATTGGTACGATTTATGAGAAATAATTTTGACGTTAACGATTATTGTAATTACGTTAATAATTAATTTTTGTTTGTGAATAAGTGTTAATAAAATGGTTTACAGATATAAAAATGTAAAATATCCTCAAAACCCCATACGTATAAAAAAAAAATATTACAGCTACCTTTAATCTCTAACGCCATTATCCGACACCGAAAACATCAAAAAGAAAATGCCGCATGTCATTGTAAAAGTATTGATAAGCCGGTTCATATCACAGCAAAGTCTGGATTAATTATAACACTCATTGTTTAATAACACTTTAATTAAGTTAAATATGTTTCACCGTTAAAAACGACAATTATTTCAAAATTTATTAAACAAAAATCGAAGTTGCAAAATGACAAACACTTGTTGACGCGGCCGCACTTGTTACTAGAATGATTGTCTACAGGATGTCTAGGATTCATTGACAGGATACCAACATAAGGATGAATTGATAAAACATCTACCAATATAATAATAGTAAAATATTATTAATTACAATACACAAATTTTATATTATATTATATTATAATATAATTATATTATATTTTAAATTTTGATCTAACTATTATAGTTAGTTGATTTTATAAATATTTTTATAAATAAAACTAAACTGATAGGTTTAATTATAAGACTCAAGCTTAAAAATGCAAAATCATTTATATAATTCTTATGGAATAATCATAGCTGGGCACCGTTAATCAAAAAGTTAACTTCGTTAATCGTTAATCCGCTACAAAAAAAGTTAGCTTCGTTAAACGTTAAAGCGTTACATTTCGGAATAATTAACGCAAGTTAACGTTAATCGTTAATCCGTTAATATGTGTAAAATTATATTTTTATATCGTTGCGTTAGTGAACTTAAAAAACTTATTGGTTTAGGTTCTGGAAGTTAACAGGTTATGAATAAAACAGAATACTTGTATAATTCAAATGTGTAATTCAACCCCTTAATGGCGCGACGCGCTTTATGCACACACCGTGATAATAACGCTATTGGTCAACTTTCTGTTTTTATGATTGCATATTGTTTTTACAAGAATTTTTTTCTAAATAAAGGGAAAGAATTTTTTTGCGAAAAATAGGAAACGCGCGACGGGTTAAGCGTCGGGTATTAGGTGCATATTTCTCTTCATGAACATTAACATGTTGAAGTTCTCGTCTGAAAGCGAGGCTCGTTTCGGTGTCAAAATGTCTTTACCCGTGGAAAACAAACGTTCAACTGCAGCGCTTGAGGGTATAGCAGTATTGTATTTAATATGAATATGAACAAGTCTTTTGAACATGTTGGCACTGTTCATCATTCACGAGTGGTCCAAATCTTTTCTCTATGTCATTTAATAAGGCATTGGCTAAAGCTGTGCCGTGCGGTAAATAGTAGGCATTGGCAGGGCCGTGCCTGGGTATGTGGCCGCCTGCGTGCGAGCATATAAATGGCCGCCCTTAAAAATAGCATAATAGGAAAATATCCAATATGTTATCACGAAAAAAATCGTCTTGTAATTTTTAAGTTTTCTCGACATTTTAGGTCATTCTGAATCGTTTGAAAGCCGATTTTTGAATTTTCGGCAACGTTTTCTCAAAAACGGTTAAATCCAATTCAAAAGTTTAAAAGTCATTTGATGTAACTAGATAATGACTAGCGCCTGTCAGTTTTGTGCGACGATCGGCCAAGCTGTTTCTAATCAACAGAAAAATATAAAAATTTTTGTACACGTTTTAGCCAAAAATTCTGCATCGATTTTAAAAATTCAGGAACTGTTTGAAAGATATCATTTAGGAATCGTGCTGATTAGTTCTAAGAGATCGGTCGGTTCGTTTCTTCGTGTTTAATTGGTGAATATTGCTTTACGATGATATTTATAAAACTTTTTTGGCGATAGTGATCATGGTCTCTAAGATAACTAAATATTTCGACCCACATTAAGTCATTTTAATTTTTAAAATATGTACTATCAAAGATTGCAAAAATGAGCGGCGCTTTTTTACGTGAGTCAAAATTTTCATCTATAGTCGACCTTCTCTCAAAAATGCACAATCCCATTTGAAAAATCGTCAAAATTCGTAAATTCGATAAGCACTCGTGCTGCTTAGTTTTGCCTTTAGAATTTTCAAAAAAGTCTCAAATTTCTAATTAGTGAATTGATTTTAAAAATTCAAAAACCATTACAAACGTTTTCCATTTGAGAATCTTGCTGATTAAATTTTGTCAATAATCGACGAGTCGTTTTTCAGTTATTGATTAACAAATTGCTTTGGAAATTTGGATCTTGTTTTTAATTTACTACAGTTTGTTTCTTGTTCAATAATATGTAATTTTTAAACTATTTATAAAACATAACTAATATTTTTAAAAAAATTGTACAAAATTGAATAATCTGCGATAGTTTTTCACATTGCAATGTACTCATGAATTAATATATTTTCATTTGTTAAGTCGATTATTAACACATGTTGGATACTTCATGCAACTTGATTTAGGCAAAGTTGCCACTTACACCAAGTTTATAACTTATACATTATTTAGAAACAGAGTCGCATTCAATAGGGCCGCCTTTGGCTGATTTTTACTACGGTAATTCTGGTCTTTTAGATATATACAGCGGACTTTACGGCAGCGAATGAGTTCAGCGGACTTTGAGCTTGGCTGCCTCTTAATCCAACAGTCTTTTAATTTGGCCGCCTTTTAATTCAGTAGACTTTTAATGCAACAGCTATTTATTTCGACCATTTTTTGTTATGGCCGTCTTTGAATTTGTTCTTTTTTTCATTTGGCCGCCCCTCGGCCGTCTCAAAAGGCGGCCGCCTGCGTGCGGTGCACGCACTGCACGCTGGCCAGGCACAGTCCTGGGCATTGGATTAACGATTAACGGACTTCTGGCATTTTAACGGAAGTTAACGTGTCCGTTAACATTTTCAAAAGTTAACTTAAAAGTTAATCCGTTAATCAAAATGTTAACTTCGTTAATTAACGATTAACGGATTAACGAGTTAATGCCCAGCTATGGGAATAATTATAATATTAATATTATAGAATTAATATAGTGATCAATATTTTAAATCATTTATGAAAACAACAAGTTTTAAACGATTTGTTCTATTAATACGATTTCTATCTAATATCAAAATTAAATTCACCATTAATGACCATAACTTCAAAAGAAAAATAAAGAAATATTATAAAGAAATTGAAGACTAAAGTGACTGAAGAGATATTAAAAGATATTTAAATGTAATGCATAAGTAAGATGAAATAGACATATATTATGTATATATATAAAATATGAAAATAGATTCATAACCTCCTATAACAGACGCAGCTGCCTGACTTAGATATGAAAATAATATATCAATAAAAAAATCGTTTAAGCGTATTAATATTAACCCTTTCCACTCGCGAATTTCGAGATTTACATGAATTTTGCCGCCGGAGTAGCGGCATCCGAGTGGAAAGAGTTAATAAATATTTGTAGTGTATTCTTTATTTAAAAATGATCTAATTTGCTATAATTATATTATTTAATTAACTTGCAAATTACTCTCAAAACTTATATTTCCAATTTTAAATTTTTATCTCATTCAACTCATTTTTATCTCATTCAACTCATTTAAAAATAATTTATTAAATGGAATTGAAATAGTACTTGACAATTGAAAATATAAGAATATTTATAAAGAAAATATATAGAAGAAAAGAATTATAAGAAGAAATATTGCAAACAATTGCAAAATTGTTATGTTTTTCCAAATTCTATCGAAAAAGATATTTGAGAATTACATGTGCATTATGTGATTTAGATATAATATTATTTTATTTAATTTTTACAAATATATGCTTTTACAGAAATTTAATTCGAATATTAATTTTATTAAAACGAGTCCAAGAAAAAAGTCTTATAAAAAGCATATATTCTAAAATAAAACTGCATAAGTTTGTAAAAATATTTTATTTCGAAATTATGCATCGGATACATTTCTTATTAACAGAACGAATAGAATTACCAGCTTAAATATTATATTGCAATTAGATTTCTTATAAACTATATAAATGGAACAAAAATGTATAAACATATGATCTTGAAGTATCTACAAATTTAATTTATTAACCAATAGTCATTTACTTATTGCTATTTATTTCAATTATATATAAATTATTGCTAAATAAACATCATAATTATAATATTTGAGTTCAAGTTTCTCTTAGATTAGTGCCGCTGTATTCGGATTAGTTCGAAAAGAATTTATTCCCAATACTCTAATCATCAGATTAAATTAATATAAATAATATAATAATGTATTTTATAATTGAGTATACAGATGCAATATTTTATAATTAGCTAAGCCGTTTCATGTGTTTTATTTTGAAATTTTTAAAACCGTTTGCAACCTACTGACATTAAATAACATGGATCTTCCCACCAAAACAGTATTTATGTGAGAAATTAGATTATTGATACATGAAACTAAAAAATTAATAATTGACTTATTGAGCAAATCAATAAAAATATAAATATTATACGAGGTGTGTTTAAAAAGTACCCGGAATTACTAATAATTAAATTTCGCGGGTCTGGAGTGTCTGATTGTCAAAATTTTTTTTTTATTGTGTTGGTATACATGCCCCTAAAGTATGATGAAATTTTCAGCTATATTCACTGTTTACTTTGTCTGTGGTAGTCGCTAAGGTTCGACGTGTTTTTCTGAGCTCGGCGATTTTTACAATGGAAGAATTGAAAAGTCAAAGAATTTGTATTAAATTTTGCGTAAAAAATGAAATAAAGTGTTGCAAAGTGCAAAAATTCACCAGATATGGCTCCGTGTGACTTTTTCCTATTCCCAAAGTTGAAGAGACCCATGAAAGGACGGCGGTTTTCCTCGATTGAAGAAAATCGCTGAGAGTGCTCAAGGACATATCAAAAAGTGAATATCAAGGGTGCTTCGAAAATTGGAAAAAAACGCTGGCATAAGTGTATTATATCTGGGGGGGACTACTTTGAAGGGCACCACATTAATGTAGACGAATAAATAAATATTTTTTTGAAAAAACGAAAATTCCGGGTACTTTTTGAACAGACCTCGTATATATCTTATGGCCAAAATCAATTACATCATTAATGAAATCGAAGAATTTATTAAAAACCAGACCTAATATTTGTATAATATTATAAAAATGTGAGTAGAATTTTTTGAATGTAAAATCAAAATGTATCAGTATCCATTACTTATTTTCATTTGATTGTTTTTGTACAATGTTGATATAATACTTATTTGTAAATTAATAACTCAAGCAAAATTTTTGTCAACAATTAGAAAATCTAAATTTATATATGTACTAAATTTGAAATGAAGGTTTGAAATTAATAAATATTTATAACACATTTAATTATACTTATAATTTTAATTAATTAGTTATATTGTGCAGACGTATATACACAAATACCCACTCGCAAACATACATTCACACAAAAATATTTATAAACATACACACTTATGTATAAATAATTATAAAGAAAAAAGTTTTTGTTATAACAAAACCTAAATACACCTTTTGGTAAAATGTTTTTTTTTTTTGTCTTTTCGCACGTTTGATTTTCCTTCAGTGGAAAAAACACAGAAACAATTTTAAAAAAATTAGAAAAACTATACACAATGAATTAACTTGTATATTTATAAAAAAATTTAAAAAAATGAACTAAACGAATAGACATATTTAGAAAAAACTTTTTTGTTTATAATTATTTTATCTCGCAATATATTCCATCAAATTTTATTAACAATTTTTCAATTCGTTCATTCATAATCTATTACATTCATACTTATTAAAATCATTTAGCTATCAATTTTCCTTATTTATTATTAACATAATCATTAATCATCTGCTTATATTATTACATATTTGCATATTTAATCGTTTTTGCAGATATTATTTTTTCCTATCAATAAATATAATTTAATATTTCTATAATCAGTATTTAAAATTTCAAATGTCGTAGTCAATATAAATAAAATTATATTTACATGGCCGCGGACTACGGCATTTGAATTGAATTTTCTTTCTAATAAGTGAGCTTTAAATCAACTTTGGGTTTTATAATTAAATTATATTTTATATTTTTTAAACGTATACAAACAATTATAATTATATTAAGACGTTTATTTAATTTTAGCGGTGTGCTGTCTATTTTGCAAGACAGCACTGATATGCTAATGATTTGACATCTTGATTGATTTAACAATAAATTTTGCAATAAAATTATTGCAATATTAACAACAAAGACAAGAAATTCAGTAGTGCAAATAACAATCATTCATATAATAACATTAATATATATCTAGTTTGTTAAAGTCGCCAAAACATCAAGAAATAGGTCAAAGTGCAAATTTAATTTCAAGTGAAACGTTTGAATTTTTTTTTATAATTATTCTAAGTGACAAATTTTTATTTTATTTTTGTAAAAAAAATGTTAAACATATTTTTTTAAAATTAACTTGTGCATAAAATACAAAGAGTATGTTAATTAAATATTTTTTATATATGCAATTATAAATATATGTTACCAGTAGTCAAGGTTTTAATTAAGATATTTTATGATAATAATAGATTATTATTTAAAAGTTTGTAATACATTATAGTGCATATTTATTGAACAAATTGATGAAATACCAATTTTCTAATAGAACACCAAAAAACACAAATTTTTAAATGAAAGAATAAGTGCATTAAATAATCTTAATTTTTTTTTTCATTGTGCAAGAGAAAGTGCGTGCGATTATGTGCATAGATAATATAAAATAGAAATAAATAAATTTAGTAATATTTCACAAAAAAATAATCAAATATAGAAATGTGCTTTAATGTGCAATGTGCATAAATGTGCAATGTGCATTAATGTGCAATGTGCTTTTAAATGACCATACAAGCGGCAAAAAGTGTACTAATTTCTTCACTATAATATTTGCTTTATACAAAAAATTATTTTTCCATCGATATCCATTACAACATTAACACTCATAATTAACAACATTAACAAATATTACATGAAGATTATTCTTAAAAGTTATTAAAATGTGCAATAAACTAGTTCGTATACATAAACGCGCTATGAAAAAAATAAACGGAATTTATTATACGATCAATATAATATATTCAAAAAACGTATTCACCCCTAATAATTTTACAAGATCCTATATTCCTACACAAAATTATTATTTCTAATTTAAAATTAATCAACATTTAGCCCAAAGTTGATTCGCAGCTGCACCCTATTTTCTTATTTATATATTTAATTTCTGTTACCGGAAAAAATCAAACAATATATTTTATATTTACAATATTTATAACTATTATTATTTATCCTAAAATCGATTTATTATCGAATGAAAATTGCACATGCAAGCATGAACAATTTTTTATTATTGTCGACACAGCCACTGAGAGTGAGAACACCTCAAAAACAATACAACTCATTTATAAATTATAATAACAAAAATTAACACAGATATTATTTTTAATCCATATTCACACTCAGTAATCGAAAGATAATTAAAAATGTAACGTTGAAATTATTTAAGTATTCAAAAATAATTTTAGGCATATATTATAAAAATCTGTAATAGGTTCACTTACTAATCATTTCTAAGATTTGAATTATTCGTATCAATATATGTATAAAATTATTTTTAATTGAAAAAAGCATCAATATACTTTTTCAAAACATTATTTCTTTAAATTTTGATTTATTCAGTAACGATGTAAAATGATCAAATGATGTTTGTGAAGCTACATGTTATAAATTGACGATATTTTAGATAAAGTTTAAATATCCTTCCCAAAAATAATTAAAGAAACTCAACATATATAATTATTAAACATCAACATCAAATTTACTTATCAAATTAGTTTTTAAGTAATTTGATTCAACATATTAAATAAGGAAAGGAATTTATAAAAATTGGAGCAAAGCTTCTTATAAAAGCTAGAAATAGCTTTTAAAATTTAATAATTTTGATTTAATTGTTTGCCAATTTAACTTGAATCTTATTTAAGTGAAACTTTTTAAAAAAGTTTCGTATTTGAAATAAATACAATCATGTTCATACAAACACTCAGACGCAATATATTCATAAGCACACACACAATTATAATTTTTTTATAAATTTTCATATATATATATATATATATATATATATATATATATACAAAATACTATTAATTGAGCACATATTGAATATAAAATAACGTAAACATGCGATATTCATTAAATTATTATAAAGCTGAGGATTCTAAAATGTTTAGTGTTTTGAATATTTAAACAATATATAAAATGAATTTTTTAATTCCAAATCATTATTTATTGTGAGAGTACCTATATAAAACGTAATAGAACATAATTTATATAAAATTATTAAAAAGTATAATAAAGATAATTTAAAGTTCATTTCTAACGGTTGGTAAAAAAAAAATTGGAATAATTTTTCAATACTCAAGAATCAAATCAAATACCGCGTGCTCAAAATTTTCCATTTCCAATATATATAATGTACATATTTACAATTATTTACTATCACAATTAAAAATGATTATATCAGCTAATTATTTTAAAATAATTGCAAAATTCATTAAAAATTTGAAACTTTACTACGATATATAATTATACTCTACTTATATTTTATATTGAATTTATAATAAATTGACATTTTAGTATTAAATATTTTTGAACAATATATTGCCAAGTAATTTTATTAATACTATATTATTTAACATTGTGCATTTATTTAACGAATGCTGGAACGATACCTAAAGATCTATAAATTTGAACAGTTATTAAAATTACGATTATATTTTATATAGAAAGTTCATAAAAAATTGCCATATATATTTAATTATTAATTCGGTTATAAAATTAAATCAAACCAAATTTTAAAGGACTTTGTTATATTGTATTAAAAATTAGGTATTAGGTGTCGCAATTTATATTGAATTTTATTTAGTAACTAAATTAAAAAACTGATTATAAATATAATATATAAATTTAAAATTAATATAATAATTATACAATGAAATAAATAATTTTTTGCTTAAATAATTTGAATAAATATAATTTTAAATAAAAAATATAACTGCAAAATCGATTTGAACAATTAATGCAGAATAAGCTGAGCCATAAGTATATATTATAATTGTTTTGTCTTTACTATTTGAATATAAATATACTTTTCCTTTCTTCAAAATTATTTTTTTTTATTAATCAAATATGAGCTGTTACGTTTACTTTAATATCCGGGCTTAACATCAGATAGATTTTTATAATTATATTAAATAGATTATTATTGACAAAAATATTAATTTTGAATTTTTTTCTCATAAATAAAGCTATATATATTTATTTACGTTTAAAAATAAACCAAGCTTTACAACAAAATTTATAACAAATCGATTAATTAAACTTCAGCAATATATTTTTTTATTGAAGGGTATTTAAAGTAATCCTCGATTTGACGACTTTTCTAATATAATCAGCGCTTCATATATCTCAAAAAGCTTACTAGCTATTTTTAACATACATAAACAGAAATATATATATATAATCTAACCTGCGATTTTCAACAACAAATAATCATTTTTTTATTGATATTTTCCGAGGTCGTCACCGCCGTGCATATAGGAATCAGTGGCTTCAGGCTGCACGTGTTCTTCAGTGACAGGATTTGCGTAGGCAAATGGGTTCGTGGGGTGAATGGGTTCTACTGCTCCGTAACCAGGACCGGCACCGATGTTTAGCTTGGAATTTGGATCCACAGGAGAACCCTGAGATAAAAAACAAAAATTACATATAAATTTTTAACATAGTGAATCATAAATCGTTTTATGCCAAAATTTGACATTTACTCAAAAATGGCTGAACCGAATCGGAATATTTAGAATGAGTAGAAATTTTGAAAATTATAAAACTATTCGAAAAATGTGTTGATAATCATGCCGATTAGCTTTTGGAAACTATCAGTCAATAAAATTCGATAAAGTCTTCAATTTATTGGTCATGAGCGTTGATCAACCGAACCACTTCTCTATGAAGTGCTCTACAATGTCTATATATTGTCCACCAAAAATCCAAAATTTCTAAGCCAATTTTGATTTAGTTTTGTATGATGCCAAAGTTCATGCCCTCATCGGATATCGAAAAAGTGAATACTTAATACCACCTATAACTATTAATATAATACTATTAGTTGTAGTAGTAGGTAAATCTTATATTTTTCTTACAAATGATGTTTCCCTGTGCATCACAATTTGCTTGTGAACAATAACAGAAGGATTCCACGACTGTTGTTCCTCGGCGGTTGGTTCAGCCCATTCTTGCAACTCTCCTGAAGCGAAAAGTCCATAGAAAGTGATGCCTATGAAATGTATCGTAGCTGCCAAAATGAACACTGTTTTCCAACTTTCTTTACCCTGAAAAAGAAACAACGAACACATTTTAGCGAAAAATTAAAAAAAAAAATAATAAGATGTCATTGGTGCTAGGAAATCACAGATCATGTACCAAACTTTATTTGGGCAAGAAATAATGACTCGCCAATAGATTTTATTTATTTAATTATGGAATAAGTTAATGTTATTATTACCCCTGCTCTAGTTATATGATCTACAGCTATAGGACATATCAGACCAGCTATTGTTCCAATTCCGTTGGACAAACCCATCAAAATACTGGCGTATCTTGGCGCAATATCCAAGTGGTTCACATTATAGCCAGATATAGCAAATCCACTAAATGCCACTCCAAATGTTAGTGCAGTTGTAGCAGCCATCTAAATAAAGAACATAATTTATCAATAAAAAAGATTAGGAATTCAAAGTCTTAGAAATATGGTATGCTTACAGCTGTTTTTGCATGGGCTACGACAAGGAAGAATATTCCTTCCATACCAAATCCGCCGCAGTTGAAGACTTTACGAACGGTTGTTGTTGTCATCAGCCCGGATTTCCGCAGATAATCAGCCAATAAACCACCAAATGGAACTATAGTAGCCATCAGTAAATGAGGCAATGATCCAACAAGACCAGTCTGCAATTTTATAAATTATAAAGTATATATTTTTCAGTATATATTTTTTCTTGTTTCTTTTACCTCTTCGATTTTGAAATCAAATGTGTTCTGCAAATAGGCCGATTGGAAAATAACTAGTAGATAAAAATTCCAGGATCTACAAAAGTTCGCCACAATAATTGCGTAGACTGGCATAGAAGTCGCAAACTTCCTCCAAGGAGTCGTGCTGATTGTCGGCATGGCTATTTGAGTCGATTCTCCGAGACTTTGTTCTATGTATTTTAGCTCCTTTATTGATATCACAGGATGGTTACGTGGTTTTTCAAATGTTAACCATAACCAAAACACAAACCTAAAAAAATTACACAGTATTTATTGAAAGCATTGTAATATATGGTAAATAACTTCTTTTCTATCCTCCTGGTTTATCATCAGAGTACATATTTTCATATATACAGCATTATTTATCAAATATTTGTTCAATTAGCATATATTTTAATTACAACAAAGAATATAATATATTATGTAAAATTGAGGTCATAGGTTTCGTCATCTTAATGACGAGCCTAAATTATTCACTACAATAAATTTTTCCACTGTATCACATTTTATCTCAAGTAAGCAAAATGATACATCACGTCCCTTTTCAAACTTCAACTGTCAATTAAGGGTTATAAAAGTGATGACATATAATATTTTTCACAACTCTGGCATAATGAAGACAAGATACAACTTTTATGAGAAAAACACGTTTTATTTCAGAAAAATATATTAAAATAAGACGTTTCCACCCTCTATCAGAAAAACGGTCGCATGTGATAATTTAGATATTACGGAGAGTAAGCAGGAGGATTATGACGTCAATGCTAGAATCGTGCTAATATGTCACGTTCTGCAAAACTTCGAAATCCAAATGATTCCATAAAATGTATTGTAGAAGGTCAGGGGTAAGAAAAATCTCTGGGACAGGTTTATGTCGTATATGAATTTAGAGGAAAATATATAGTACTGAGCTATAGTAAAAACTAGTTACGACTGTCAGGCTTAATATGACTTTTTGAATAATTCGATGCCTGCACATTGTAACATATTGTCTCTAAACTGTTCCGAAACTCCATTCTGAAAAATCGTCTTAACGGGAATTTACTGTGTATGATTTTGCTCTGAATGAAAAATAAAACAAACTATTTATTCATTTCTTCGAATATCGATTACTATTCCTAAGTTTATTAAAAATTAAATGATTTAATAAGAAATCTACTATGTTTATTTTTCATTTATATCTGCCATCCCAGTGAATAACTGGTTAAGTCGAATTTTGGCAAAACTGTTTTAAATCGCGGTATTAACTTTTTCTCTGAAAATAGTCATATTGGTTAGGAACAAAAGTTAATGAAGCACTTTATATAAAATTTAAACCAATAATTTCAAATACGCGATATTACACGAGTAATAGAACTTTGAAATCAAGCTTTGAAAAATAGTGAAAATTAAATTGAACACTTGGGATGACAGATATATAATATTATATTTCATCATATTATGAAATAATCTAAAGTTATGAAGTTTACAAAAATAACATCTTTTGATAGCAATATCTGTGTTACATATATTAAAATTTCTACCATTCACAATGCATTACATAGCTCACCATATAAGCCCGAAGACACCATAGAAGTAGAATGGGGCCTGCCAACCTATTTTGCCGGCTAGTATACCTGATAGCGGCATTCCGACGACTACGCCGGCGTAGGAGCCGCAGAACGCAATTGTAGCCAAACGTGAGCGCTCCAGAGGCGGGGCCCAGAATCGCCAGATACCGTGGCACGCCGGGTATGTTACACCCTAGGATATAATTGTAATAAAGGTAGATATACTTACTCATATTTAAAGAAATAATGAAAATATATTTATTAAATCAAAATAACATATGATTGTCATACAATCAAAAATATCAAAATTATTGAATTGTAATTCTAGAACATAACACAAACACAAATTTTCTCCGCTTTTAAATAATTGTTATTTTTAATTTTATTATTAATATTTTTGTGATACAAAATTCAAATGAACTGATAGAGAGTCTTTATAACACCATGTATAATATAAGACTAAAAATAACGCATTTAATTAAGGCGACTAAGGAGAATGTGTGTGCGAGCGGAGGAGGTGTTGGTGAGCTAAAAACTTATATGCACATTTTTTCGGTTCAAATTTTCTAGTTGAAATATATTTAAAAAATAACAATCAAACTATTTTTAAAAATCCGGGACAATCCGGGACAAAATACCTAAAACTGTGGCAAATATTGCTTTTAGAAAAAAATCGGGACGCAAGGCGGAAAATCGGGACTGTCGCGGAAAATCCGGGACGTATGGTCACCTTACATTTAATAGACTTAACACTTTAGTCAATAATATATTGTTCTATGCTACTTATGATAGGGGTGTATATGTATATATGTGTATGTGTACTCTGTGTATAATTGTATGTATATATTAGTTTCTTTTTTTTTAATACGAAAACTAAATTTAGACATTATTTAGTACATTAATAAAAGGTAAGCTACTGAAGTTTTCTTTTAAAATTCAATGTTATTTATCAAATTAATTACTTAATGTTTTTTATTACTTAATGCATTGTGTTTATAATTGTATGTATATATTAGTTTCTTTTTTTTAATACGAAAACTAAATTTAGACATTATTTAGTACATTAATAAAAGGTAAGCTACTGAAGTTTTCTTTTAAAATTCAATGTTATTTATCAAATTAATTACTTAATGTTTTTTATATAGGCCGATTGCAATTCATATGAAAATAAAAAAATATATACAGTGTGCATCATATCTATTAACCTAAGGGCATCATACGTCCCAGATTTCCACTTAATGATTTTTCAAGAAGCAATACTTGTTCTGGATTCAAGGTTTTGACCCAAATTTTATAGTTTTTTTAAAACTATTTTAAATTTTTATTTTATATTATTTCAAATCAAATTATTTTTACCAAAATATTAACGAAAAAAGTGTTCAAATACGCAACTTGGGATAAGCACACTAAAACAAAATATTAAATATATATATATATATATATATATATATATATATTTATATATATATAGATATTTTTATTTCAATATATATTATTTTCTGAATGTAATTTATAGACTTTGTAAATGATGTATAATTTTACACGCTAAAGAACACAGAAAATTTATGTGTGTATGTGGTGTGTTTGTGTGTGTGTTTGGATACAATTTTTTGTCCAAAAATTCGAGAGCACGGGTCAACCGATTTGAATTATTCAAGAAATATTAGATTGCTATTGATGAGGAGACATTCAAATGAAATTATTGGTACAAAAATTTGAACAAAAAAGTGTTCAAATACGCAATTTTGGATAAACACCCTAAAACAAAAATATTAAATATTAAATAGATGTATATACTTAAAAAAACTATTATATTTTTAATGCTATTTGTTGAAGAACCAACAGAAAATATGTGTGTGTGTATGTGATATGTTTGTGTGTAAGTTCGCATACAATTTTGAGAGCACGAGTCAACCGATTTCAAAGATTAAATAAACATTATATTGCTATTGATCGGAAGACGTGCTGATTGGTTCTGACACGGACTACTACGTTTTGAAGATACGGGGTAAAAAAGCCCAATATTTCAAAATTTTCAAAAAAAAATTAGGGCATTCAAAAATTTTAAATTGCTTTACGGAAAGTTCCAGCTATTTCACGGCACGAATTCCTTAAATTCTGACTATTTCATTTTATCACCTAGTGGCTGATTTATAAGATTTACGCATCAATAATAAATCTAGATCCGTTATTTTGATGTGAGTATATCGTGCGTTGTTGTTATACATGTATCACGTGTATATAAAAGAAATGATAATCGCGCGTCGGCGGGATTTTGCCGCTGCTGTTCATGTCTGTTCAATGAAAAGGATCAGCCGGGCGGAAGGATCTGAACGAAGGATTTAACGGCAGGAGAATCATATTCTGTATTGTCATTGCTTTTGATTCGAGCATTACGACTCTCATATGCGATTATGGGCATCATCCGCAAAATAAGATATTGTACGACATACATCAAGACCGTAAGGTTTTGATAACATCGCTCATAAGGAACAGGAATTTATGGAGCACACTAGAAATCATTATCAGGAAATTATTGAAGCACATGGAAGATTATATATATATATATATATATATATATATATATATATATAAATATATATATATATATATATATATATATATAATATAAATATATATACATATAATTTACCTCGACTAGTCCCTGCATGATCCTAACTATGATAACGACCGTAGGATGTAGATCCATCGCTCCGGGCATCAATAGATTCAGAAAGGATGTTCCGACGATGGCTGTTCCAAATATCCGGTTGGCGGGATACATAGAAGCCAAAAATCCGCCCGGAATTTGCGTAAAGAAATAACCCCAGAAGAAGGAGGAATCGACGGCGCTCTCCATGCCTACTGTCCAGTTGAAAATTATACCGTGTGACGACTCCGTCTGTAAGAGAAAATTGAGACATTTGTAATTTTATCATTTGACATTGATAAATTAGTTATATGATCTGTATAAGAGAACATAACCATTTTTTTTAAAATAATGCAAGTAACAGTTATCAATAAACCGTAGGGCTGTACACTATAATTATATAGTTAAATTAGTTATTTAATTAATCAGACTAAAATCGGTAATACACAGAAATTTATACCGATTTGCTTATTGATTATTGGCCTAAAATAAAGTACTTGCATCAGAATGATGGAAAAATCACGGATTCAGCTTCAATTTCTTTTGTCCTTTATATAAGAAATTGAATAATTTTGATAAAAAAACCTTATGAAATGAACAAAGAATGTTAAATCAAACAAAATACATAACATATCTGCCTATATAATAAAATTGCATAAATAAATATGCACAAGTAAACCAATATTTTACTATTTAGTTACTACACGATAAAGGTATTAGTAGGACAATATATATTGAATATATGAAATATGTAATTAGGTACAAATTAATCAATTAGCTTCCATAAGCATTAATTCGCAGTTTAAAAATTTAATAACATAATATTTGTGTATTTTTAGCAATATCGCATAAATTTTGCCAAGCTTAAATTGTTAACAATTAATTAATTCTAACAAGGAGAATCTCAGGTTTACTCTTCTGAGATTTTGATGAAACTTTGCATAGCAATAGAGTTGACAGTCAAACCGATCAGTTTAAAATATTATAGGCCTGTGAAAAGCGGTTAATTATAAAAAATGAGTTTAAAGTTTTGAAAAGTTGCCGCGCGCGATACCTACGAATACAGCAATATTTAATATCAATTTAATATTAATTGGTGATCAGTATGAAAGTTGTAAAAATATGATTTTGCTTTCTGGTTTAATCATTATTTTGAATAATATACGATAAAAACAAATTATGACGTAAACAGTGACTAACTTTTTTTATTGTTTCAACAGCAATCAGAACTCTTACTTCACATGTTCTATAAGCTGTTTGTTGAAGATTTATGACCTAACGTATTTTATGAGAGGCAACCCATCGGTTTGCCATTCTCCTATGTGTGGGGTTTATATTAGCTCTTACGTCTGATAGTTATCATATGATTGAATGATGCAGCTATGCCCACGAAGGACGATTTCCACTTGAAATTATATTGTTATCTATAACCTCAAGTAGAAAATTGACATCAAAGCTGCCTGATGTCAGGCTTGGCGGCAGCGGAAAACGAACCAGCGAACCCGGGACTAGTTGGTGCTAGCTCACGTTCGAACCGATTTCGCCACGCCGGGCCCAAGAGTGACTAACTAATATAAAAAATATGTTGAATTTATTGTTTTGTCTACACAGATTAAAAGTTTTATTCATCAAACGCCAAAATATAAAAACATTTCCTCAAAAACTGTGCAGGAAATTCGGGTCCATCACGCGCCATAAAATCACAACGAACGAATCGCACGCTCCGCTGCGGACCGGCCGAATATGCAAATGCGCATCAAACATATGCGTAATGAATTTCGAGTTTTGGGGCTTTTGTGTTTGAGCTTTTACCATTATTAATACAATTATTATGCAAACGTTTTATACGCATACGTTTATTGGCTCAAAATAAAACTAGCTGTAAGTGGAATTCTGTCTTAAGGCAATTAGGGCATCGTGCCTTAAGGCAAATTGCTGGAACTTCCCGTACCAAAAATTATTATTTTTTTTAAAAACGATTAAAATTGAAAAATTGAAAAAAATTTACTTCGAAAAAATAAGATTTTTGAGAAACTATAAATTGGACAAAAAATTACTTTTTTTTGAAAAAAAATTTTCATAAAATTTTTTTTTTTTTTAAGAAAAATGTTTTCTTTATATTGACATATTTTGGAAGATCTGAACTTGTTTTTCAGAGCAATCGTACTGCTTTAACTGCATAGAGACGAAATATAAAGCGCGTAAGCGCGGCGTCGCTGTCTAACGGGTAAACATTGATACGGAACCCATAGGAAAATAAACAAAATTTATACTTATTGTTAAAATCTCTATAAAATATCTGAAAATTTGATGTGCATATGTCTAATGATCATTTTTGACCGACAAATGGCATTTTTTTTTACTTTTTTCGTTATATCTCCGAAACCGCTAGACCTGCCTTTATGAAAATTTGATCAATTCTTTATCTTATCAATACAAGTAAAATGTTTTTTGAATTATTAAAATCGGACGCTCCGTTCTCTTAAAAACTGAGTTACCGTTTTCGGCACTTTTTGCCCTGTATCTCCGGAACGGCTAGACCTGCCTTCGCCAAAAACTAATCAGCACGTCTCCTTATCAATACAAATCTAATGTTTTTTAAATTATTCAAATCGGTTGATCCGTGTTCCCGAAATCGTCGACGAAAATTTGTATCCGCACATACATACACACACGCACACACACACACACACACATACATCCATTTTTTCTAAGGTATGCCAAAATATTCAGAAACCTCTGAAACGTAAAGATATATAAAAATTTTCATTTTCGATTTTTTTGCGATTACTATAACTTACCCTACGGGAAGTTAAAAATTATTTTTAAATTGGATTCATAACTGATTGGGGAGGGGAAAGAAATTTACATTTAGAGCAAATATTTTTTAAAGAATTTTTAAATTTAAAATTTAATGAACATTTCAGAAATTATGTAATTAGGGGTCGTAATTAAGTCATCAATGATATAATTTTTATTTCTTGAATATTGGTTAATTTTTTTTTATGTTGATGTTGTTAAGGTACCTACAATCATTTTGTTTTCTGCATATCATATTCAAATTAAACAATTCGCTTTTAATAAAATTTCGTCTTGGCCACTTGAAAACATCAACCGTATCAATCGATATGACCTCTCTAGAGCAGAGACGTTCAAACAGGAAGAAGCCTGATTCTTCATCTTCGAGATGCGATGTGAAAAAAAGAAAAACCTAAGTGGAATGGAATGCGTCGTTTGGATGTAGGGAAAACTGTTTGACGAGGAAGGAATCTTTGCCTTCGTCGAGGGTCGATCGAAGTTAAGGGGTCACAACAATGCAACTCCATTAGCGCCGACTCCGCTTCAAAACGAGACGACATTGTTGAATAATAACGCTCCGTTAGGGCTTTTGCTTTTTGACAAAAGATGTGAAAATATACTCAGATATGAAACCTGAGTCCAGGGACCCTCCGTTTCGAAGCCCTTGGAGCCCTTTTTATCACCGAAGACTTTATAATGTAGTAAATATTGAAGTATGAATAGGCTAATTTTATGTTTCCTATTGCTCTATTTAACTGCAAGATTCAAGGTGATAAAGGGAAACAGATATTCGAATAGTTATATATATATATATATATATATATATATATATATAACTTTGTTTTTAACATTGTCACGTTCTAGATAGGGAGTGATGAAAAGTAATACATCAAAAATTTTATTTTTATCATTTTATGAATTATTAGTATTTTTATAAATATTCATTATTATCATTATTGTTATATTTCAATTCTATATTATATACTGTTTATATATATATATATATATATATATATATATTTATATATATATATATTTTAACCATTTATTTTGAGACATTTTCCTAAAATATTATTAACCAAAATAATACTGTTAAATTTAGTAAATTTAAGTTTTAATTTGTTTTGATAGCTAATGTAAGCTAAAATCAAACTTTATATGTAAACCTTTATATATAGGCAAAAAATACTTTGAAGGCTAAAATATATATTTATGTTTCATTCAGTGTAGTTTTTCATGTTGAATGAAAGCTACGTGAAAAGCATTACCTTAATGTTGGAAGGTATTGTCATGTATGTAACTCCTTTCTAAAAATCATGATTGCAGTATAATTTATGTTATGAAATTACTCAATATTTCCATTAGTCGTCGCATTTACAACTGCGTTGTATCATTTGATATATTGTCCAGATTATCTACTCATATATAAATGTATATATACATTAGGGTGGTCCTTAAAATGGTCATTTTCGAATTTCCTTGCTCCCAGGGGCTCAAATGGTTCCAAATTGATAAAAAACAATTCTCTGAAAATTTTAGCTATTGATATTGTCTTTTAGGTAGAGCGTAATTCAATCAAAGTTTGTATGGAAAGAGCATGGAAAAAATTTTGAAAATTGAAAAAAAAAAAGTTTTAGGTTTAACTTAGCGACAAATAAATGAGTTTTATTCAAAAAATTTTCCATGCTATTTCCATACAAAACTTTGATTGAAATGCGCTCTATCTAAACTTTAATATTAAGAGCTAAAACTTTCAGAGAATTGTTTTTTATCTATTTGGAACCATTTGAGCCCCTGGGAGCAAGGAAATTCAAAAATGACCATTTTAAGGACCACCCTAATATACATATACATAAGGCAGTTGTTTTTTTTCAACTTGGTATAAGAGTTTAGGAATATTTAGATATTTTATAGCTTGCAACAAATTATATAATCAATTATAAGTAATATGACTAAAAGATTAAATTTTAAATATAATAATCATATTTATTTAAATAAAGTTATTATGATTATATATTTTTTTTAATTATTGTTACAACAGCAATCAGAACTCTTACTATATGATTATAAATTTGATGTTATATATAAGTTGTTAAAGAAAATGATATCGTTATTCGCGCCTGCTTCACAAATATTATGATCTAACCTTTTCTACCAGCATCAATAAAATAAATTTACAACCGTACATACTAAGTTATTATAAGAAATTTCTTATTCTGTTAACGTACAACGTCGATTCCTCAATCTTAACCAATAGCTATTTTACAAGTAAACACCATTATAAACCGAACTAATAAATTTCAAATACATTTCTAAAGTCAATAAAAATCAAAAGAAGTAATTAGTCCTTCAAACGATCCTTCGAATCGGACCTTCCATATAAAGAGTGTTCAGTGTAACTATTACTTTTTACAATAAAGATTGCAAGGGTTCTCTACAGCAGTTCTTAAAATTTTATCTTACAATTAGCAATTTGCTATATACCACCATAATGAACTATTAGAATTTCAAACAATTACATTAGACAAAAATAACAGTGATTAAATTCAATCAATGCCCATAAATTAACTCTTCTTACCCTGTTATGCATCAGAGCTTCCAGCCTCAATTTAGCCATTCCAAGATTGCACTTAATTCCGAAACTTATCATAAACCCTAGGCAGGTCATGACCGCCACGGTGTATCGCTGGCTAAGACAGGGGCACTCCGCTCGCACGTATTTGTCGATATGCCGGAGCGGAGGTCGCTCGATCTCCTCGAAGGATTCCGGCGATCCGGCATCCAGGCGGTCAGCCGCATCGCCGGCCCAGCCGAAGTCCATGTCGGCTGCCTGGTAATAGAAATAGATAGTTGATTAGTGTTTCATAATAATAATCATACTTATCTGACATATAGTTGCAAATATAACGATCATGTTAAGGATCATGTTTTATCCTAACACTGACAAGTTGTATAAATATTTTTAAACAGTATAATATTCTTACCACTTCAAACTTATTATTACACAATTATTTATAAAAATAATTTTTAGTACTTTGCACTACGATGCAAGAAACAAGCTTACGAATTTACCAACCATTATGCATACAACTTCTTTTAATTCAATCGATTGATTTGGTATTTAACTACTTAATTTACTAATCTTTTAACCAAGTCTTCTAAATAATTATAAATTTTACAGTACTATGATAAAATTAATAAGAGTTAGAAATATGATATTTCTAAAGATTCAATTTTTGAATTCAAGCAATACTTTGTTACTATCCCATTTAAAATTTAGGATTTTTTACTACGTTTCACTAACATAGCTAATTTTAGCTATCTTGGATAATTATCTAAACTGTACAAACATGTTTTTGTCTTTAATACAGCTATGTATTCCAGAAAAGATATTTTTTTTTTTAGAAACGATTCCCATCAATTGAGATACAGAACTCCATAATTTAAAAATATACCAAGTAACGTAAATTCTGACTTTATATCACCCTTTTAATAATCATAAATTTTACAGTGTTCTAATAAAATTATTAAAATCAATAGCTCTTATGATGTATCTGAATATGTAAATTTCGACTTCAACCAACACCTTGTTACTTATGATAAAAATAATTAAATGTCTATAGCTTTTTTGATGTCTCTGAATATTTAAATTTTGACTTCAACCAATACTTTGTTACTATCTTCTCTATAAATAAGGGTTTTTTACTACTTGTTACGTTTTATTATCTTTTTTGGCTAAATATAAGTGTGTAGTGATACAATAGTTGCTTGATCTTCGAAACTGCTTTATTTTACAAAAAAGATTTTTAATTTACAGAGAAACGATACCCATTAATTGAAATACAGGACTCAAAAGTTTAAAGATCCTCAAAATGAAGTCATAATTATCAATTTTCCTTATTATATATGTTATGTTTGAACAGTTTAATTTAATTTAATATTATAAAATCCTGTATCCGTTTATAAATTACTTTAGAGTTATTAATTTAAATTACTTTACTCCTATATCTAGGAGAAATTATAATTTATAATTTATATGTAATAATATTTAGGGACGCTTGTATTAATTTAGTTAACAAATTAACAAAGGTTCTATTAATTCTTAACTATCTAATTATTAAAATTCATGGAATATTAAAAAATATAAAAAAAATTAACATGCCTGTCTACCGCTGCCACCATCCATCCGATCATAGCCATGCTTCGGCATTTCTTGAAACTCTTCATATCGGACATTGCTGCAAATAAAAATATAATTTAATTAAACTAAAATAAACATTTGAGAATGCAATGCATTGTTATGTAATATTGTTACAGGTTAGCATCATTTACAAAAACAATTTTTGGTCCCACATTCATGATAAGCACAGTTTAATATCGCAAAAAATGCGAATGGGGAGTTCCAAACCCGGTGATGTCAAAGAACGTGCTTTCCATGTAATAAAGCAAGCTATCTTGAATATATCTCAATATATATCATATAAAATATATTTACTAATACTTGTACATTTATTGTATAAAAATACGACAATACATTCAAGAGCACACTTATGTCACACTGCTACGTATTTACATTGCACTCTAGCGAATAGTAAGTAGACATATTTATGAAGAAGCACGTAGCGACTCGCAAACAGTATTTGCAAACGATCCGGTGGCTCGCGTTTCATATTTTCAATTAGAACAGAAGTGAGTTGTCGATAGGATAAATATAATAAAAGTACAATCTTCAATTGACACAGTTTAGTTTCTTTTCTTGTTCGATATATTGTTCAAATACACTTACATACAAACGTATTCCAAGAGCAGAAATGAATTTTAAGATTCATTCTCTATAACAGTATCATTCCCAACTAATATCCTTCGAATAGTTTTTGATTTTTTAAAATCGATTCGGTAGAATGAGCTTAAATGTGGACGAAAAGTTTAACACTCTTTTTCAAATTACAAAGAAACGCCTCGGCAAATCGTCTCACAACACTGACAAACTATAGTGCTCATTGAGATACATCGAATGACTTTTAAATATCTGAAATCGGTTCAGGCGTTTTTGAGCAAACGTCGATGAAAAGTCTAATTTTGACAAATGCCAAAAAACGATACCAATTTTCGCAAACTTTGACGATTTTTTAAAGCTAAACGAGTTGTCGCAGGGCCGTAATATTTTAGTATGATCTAGAAGACTATGATATCCACCGTCAAAAAAAATCATCAAAATCGTCGATTTTTAAAAAAAAAACTTTATTACAAGAAAACGGCTCGGCCGATCTTTACCAAAAACTAATCAGAACGATTCCCAACCAATATCTTTCGAACAGTTTTTGAATTTTCAAAATCGATTCAGAATTGCGAGCTGAAACGTGGACGAAATTTTGTTCACTTTTCTGAGATTTACAAAGAAACAGCTTGGATGATCGTCGCGCAAAGTTGATAAACGCTAGTCCTTAACGAGATACATCGAATGGCATTCATATTTTTGAAATCGGTCCAGCTGTTTTTGAGAAAACGTCGATTTACGGCAAAAAACTTGTGCGTGCACACGCACACACACACATACTTTTTCCAAATTTTGTCTCATTTGATTTAGAATGGCTTGAAACGTCGAGAAAACATAAAATTAGCGAATCGGATTTTTTGATAAAAACATAAACTTCTCCTTCGGGTAGTTAATAAGTATGTTGTGATGGTATTTCATGATCAATGCAAAAATCAATATAGCTCTTTTTATCTGTATTTTATTTATCATATGCGATACCCAGTTTTTGAAAGATATAAAAATTTACCCAATTTGGAAAAATTTAATTTCAATTCTAAATTAGAAAATAATGATTTTAGTGTGAGTGCAACCCTTTTTGGTTAGGAAACTGTATCGTAAAGATTTTCAGTTTTCATATGAACCATTTTATGTAACCTTCAACCCAACATTCATTACTATCCAAAATCATGACTTCAGTACGATTTTTACATAATGTCATGTTTTATTGATGTATGTATTTCATCGGGGCATCAAAGTGTGCATCAGTGGGCGAACTGTGAACGTAACGCCGTTCAGCCGCTTGCGACGGGGTGATCGCCGGCCGATATAAATGACTTGTTCATTAATAACCATGTCGTGACGGTTTGACGAATATTACAAAAGTACAACCCCCTTTTAAATATAATGCACCAAAATGTGTATTTTGATATGGAAGCATGTTTTTGTGTACATTAAAATTAAATCACTGCTTTTAGTACAGGAATAGAAAAAAAAATGGTGTAGTGTAAATCTTCCAAGTCTCTAGATTCAATAATTTTAAGCTTGGCTTGATAAATTAAATGATTTTATATTTTATCAATAAAAAAGTATAAATTACATATAAGAAATAATATATTTTTTATTCAATGTCACCTTGTTCATTGCTTTCAATTTTCACGTATGCATATGAATATATTAATAGATCGATTCTGCCGCACAACAGGCCAATGTTATGGCAAGGCCATGTTACGCTCCAATTTGCATGCATTGTGCTACCGAATTATACTGAATACTGTCAAAATGTCATGCATTGGCCAAAATGTCATTCATACGTTTTACACATAAACTGCAACGTCTCTTGTATGTTATGAAGCTGGGTCAGAAAGACCATGTTGCTTGTCTGGCCCAGTTTTGGCATTTGTGCGGTTTCACGCTTAGGTTTCAACCTGAGCAGGTTCTCAAGCCTGGGAAACCGCCTCACTGCATAGCAATCACATGGCTTTTGCCAATATTTAGAACGATTTAGTATGGAAAGTTCTTCATAACATAGCCTTTAGACAGAATCGGTCCATAAAAATGTGTTAATATTATAAGAATACTAATACGTTTTCTAATGCGGTTTTGAAAATACTTGTAATACAGTTTTCAAATCATTAAATGCAACATGTCTATTGAAATTTTGACAAATTTACTTGAATTATATGATACTTTATTCTTAACAATAAAAATATATTTCTCTCTTCCTTAACAACTTCCCTGGAGTCATATAAATCAAATAGAATGTATTACTCAGAAAAATCTTGCAAATAATATTTTCTTCGCTTTTCAACAGAGTACGAATCACTTCATGGTCATAAACATGCATCAACTATTTTACAGATATATTAGTAATAAATTATAAATTTTGGAGATATACATACACACACTTTATATATATATATATATATATATATATATATATATATATATATATATATATATATATATATATATATTTGTGGGAAATATTCATACTGTAATAGAGTGAATGAACATGTTTCCTTGCAAAGTTATGCATAAAAATGATTGATGATATCGAACAGGAAATTGCATGACACTCTCTTAAAGTTACAATGTAGTAGATGTCACAATAAAAACATTTGAGCATGCCTTTAAAAAAAATATTATACTTTCTTTAACAGCAATCAAAAATTACAAAATAAATAAATCGGCTGAAGTTTAGAAATCATAATAGTATCCACTCCAATATCATGGGCTGGGTCTGGCTAAGAAGAAAAATAGGTACAATAATATGTTAAATTTGAAGAAAAAATATTTTAAAAATATAAATTAATTTATTAACTAGTTTGGAGAAATGATTCAAAAAATCGATTTTAAATAATTATAATTAGTATCATATAATGATTTGGTGAGAAAATTAATTTAGTATGTGATGAGTTAAGAGTGGAAGTCTGTTTCAAGGGCAAGAAACGAGGGTAGTCATGTAAGGGTGTGAAACATCAGTATGAATGGAATTCAAGTGGTGCGTGCTGCAGACACCATCGGGATGATTCTAAGACATGTCAGGGACAGATCGTTTAGTATTTGATATTCTTATCTAAAATTATGAATAAACATGAATAAAAATCAATAATTTTATTTACCAGTGTTTGACAGTAACTTAGGCGACTGCCATAAATTTTCCTGAATATGTGATCAGTTCAAAACTGCTATGATTTTATTTATTGAGAAAATGAATATCTCTATTATTTTCAACAATATAATAGATAATATGGAGCAATCATTGGGAGCAATTGACTCCAATTATTTTGAGCAATTGACAAGGTTGTTAATTCTGAATCGTGAATCAAAATCTACTGAGAAGAATATATGTTTAGTAACGTTTAGCGATATCAATTGACAAAAATGATTTTTTTCTTTACCAAATAATAATTTACTTCAAATACTATTTTTTCCACTATGCTTATTTTTGTCCTTGTGCTTTCATTAAGTAAAAGCTTTGTTTAAACAAATATGTTAAGGTTCATCTGTTCCTAAATCATGATTTCGGTACGGTACTGGGTTTATAAGATGTTCATGAACTCTGTAAACGACATTGAGAGCAAAACCTTCACTAGAGACCGAGTTCTATTATAAGCAGATATGACGTATATGGCAATGTGAATTATATTTTTGGTTGTAGTAAATTTATATTTAGAGAAATTGTACATGAGGAGAAATTATATTGTCCTATAAATTAATCATCATTAAACCTTTCCACATGCGAATTGCGAGATTGATATTTTTGTTTCCCACCGTGCCGTCGGCATCCGAATGGAAAGGGTTGAAGTATATGTGCAAGAAATATTGATTTTTTCATTTGTGTAAGTAAGCTAATGGAGCCATTATGCGATCACTTATTAATTGGAATAATCAGATGCAATTGTTTAATTTTTCTATGCAAAATAGCTTCCCGAAGATGTTCCATTTCAAACAACATCCAATTGTTATTCTTCCTCCAAAATGACTACCCACCAAACTTCTACCCCAAAACAGCACTATTATTATTTTTTATTGCCCCTGTTAGTGTTGCCAGTGATACATCACTATAACAGACATTCTCCTATGTCACCAACTAGAGGCGACCGCGGAGAATCAAATCCTCACGTCCCGAGTCGCCGGGCAAGCGTTAACAATAAGGCGACAACCCCAATAACAATCCAACTATACGATAGCCGGCCATTTCATCTCCACCTCAACAATCTCATGTATAAAACATGAGGACACACCGTAGAGTTATTTATACGTCGATAAATAACTCACGTTATAATAGATATGAGAGTCATCGCCGGAGATGCTTTTCTAGGAAGGTCAATGGGAAAAAGACGAACAATGATAGGATGGCTGAGGCGGAAAGCTGGCTTGGTGATAGAGCTAAGCTTGAGATGTGAATCATTGGCAAGATATTGAGTCATCATAGATTGAAGAAAATTTAAGTATAGAGGCTTGAAAGTCTGCGGGTGAGAAGGTCCACCAGCATTATCTCAAAAACGAGAAAAGTATAGAAATATTTAATGAGGCTATTTTAAAGTGGAAGGCCAAATGTGTGTTACCAGTAAACACTTTAATTCCTAAGTAATCGCTATCAGGGAGTATATGGGAAAGTATCAATATTCATACTAGAAGCCTTTTTCTTGGTAGTTTTTTTTTAGTTTTGAGCTGTTGTAGTGGTTTATGATGCCTGAACATGAGTGTTTTGTAAGATGTAGAGTCATTATTAAGTTAGATTCGACATTGTTCTTGAAAGCTTACATGTTGGTGGAGTTAGAACGACCAATTAAACCTTTACATTGGTACAAGTATAAACAATAAGAAATACTAAAAAAAAACTAGAGAAAGTTGAAAAAACAACTTTACAAGAGATGAACTAAGTTAATAGTTATTCAACCTCTGCCGATGAGCATTTTTTTCACAATATGAATGATATCTTTGTAAAAAATGTTTTTATAAAATTCGTATTTTACATTGGTTCAATAATGCAGCTATTGTTTCTTGAAATCTCTTCAAAATTAAATAAAAAGTTTGATCTGAAAAGACGTTTGCCTTCTGGATGAGACGACGACTCGGACTGGGCAAGAATGAACTTCTTACGACTCACATGGGGCAAAAAAAAACATATGAAGATTTTTAGAAAAATAGTGAAAAAATATCTCTATCATTTGAAGTCAACTAGAAATTTTACTTTTCATAGTTTCAGACTTGATTGAAACATGTTATGGGTCGTCTTGTAGTTCACTTAGTTTATACAGTAAATCACTGAAAACCAAATTGAACCTTTGTGCCCCACCCTAACCTATATAATCTTATTCTTATCCTTTTCTGGTATTAGAGTTCTCATCCAGTGCAGAATTATATCGGTATATATGCTTAAAATATATGCAAAATTTACATAAATAAAATGCTAATACTCACTTCAGTGTATTTACTGAGAGTAAAAAATTTTTGATATTCTTATGAGATATATATCATATGCTGGGAGATGCTAAGTGGGATATTTCACTTGATGATGCAATCCATTTAAATAAAATATGTGCTGTCTTGAATACAATATATACAAAACATTTGCTATAAGTTCAATATTAGATGATAACCATATAAATTATTTAATAGTCCTAAGCTTCTCAGAGTTGTCCTCCAAAAACATTAGAGTTTTGGAATCTTTCCAAGAAATAAAGCCGACAATCATTGCAACGTGTCCTGAAACGAGGGTTCCGGATTATCCCGGATTTGCACCGCCCGATGTTAAATCACCTTGCCGGGGCAAATACAAGATTGAAATCTTCGTATCTGCGCGGAACAGTGACGCCGCGCTCTGACAATATTTATTTCTTTGCTACTGTAAATAAAGCCATTGCTAATCTCTACTTGATATTATTTGCTCTTAATAGACCGCAAATAAACTCATAGAGAGAAGTGATTTTCATTATTTATGTACTAATAATTACTTATTTGATGACTAAGATGATCGACAATGGAACTGTCTGAAACGCAACTGAATAATTTACAGAAGAAATTTTGAATTTTCAAAGATATTAAATAGCTAAAAAATTGCAAATCAATAAAAAATACAGAAAATTTATATCTATATAAATTATATATTTTGAAAAATACCGTAAAAATCAAATTTCACTTTCACCTATTCCATAGAATTTTATAAACAAAATGCAAATATTAACTGAGATTTATAGGTCGTTTGAAACACTATCAATATCAGTTATCTTTTGTCGATATATTGGAAAAATTTAGTCGATATATGAAAATACAGTAAATTTCTAATCTTTTTCAGTATATCAGAATATATTCTTAAAATAAATGCAAAATGTACACAAAGGAAATGCAAATACTGACTTCAGAATATTTACTGAAAGTCAAAATTATTATGATGTACTTATAAGCTCATATTATATATTGAGATGCTGAGTGAGATATTTCACAAGACGATGCATTCTCTTGTGAACATTATCAATCTAATGGAATAAATGCATAATTTACAAAAATAAAATGCATCTACTCACTTCAGTATATTTACTAAAAGTCAGAAAATCATAGGTATAACCGCCGCACAACAATGCGTATTGGTTATTTTCTAAACCAGTAAAATTTTGTTCTTTTTCTAGTAGTAGAGTTTCCATCCATTGTATAATTATATTAATATAGTTGTTTAAAATAAATGCAAAATTCACATAAAACAAATGCAAATACTGAAATTCAGAAAATACTGATATGCTTATGAGCGCACATCATGTATTGAAATGATGAGTGGGATATTTTACTCGATGATACATTACATTTCACCTTAATTACTAGATGTAACAGAATCGCATTTTTGTTTGGCTTTTATTCATAGGTCTAATCATAACATAACAGTGCGTGATGGTTATTTTTTATACCAGTAAAATTCTGAGCTTTTTCTGGTATTAGAGTTCTAATCCAATAAAAAATTATATCAATATATTTGCTTAAAATAAATGCAAAATTTACATTAATAAAATGTATACACTAACTTTAGTATATTTAATGAAAGTAAAAAAATGCTGATTTGCTATAAGCTCATATTATATATTAAGATGCTGAGAGGGATATTTCACTCGATGATGCATTTCATTTTATCTCAATAACTAGGTGTAACAGAATCGCATTTTTGTTGGGTTTCTGTTATAGGTATAATCAAAACAGAACTATGCGTCGAGGTTATTCTTTATACCATTAAAATTCTGATTGTTTTGTTATCCATTAAAGAATTATATCAGTATAGATGCTTAAAATAAATGCAAAATTGATATAAATGAAATACACTCACTCTAGTATATTTATTGAGAGTAAAAAATTACTGATTTGCTCTAAGCTCGTATTATATATTGAGATGCTGAGTGGGATATTTCACTCGATGATGCATTTCATTTTATCTTAATAACTAGGTGTAAAGAAATCGCATTTTTGTTTGATTTTTATTCATATGTTTAACACAGAAATATGTGATTGACCAAAGCTAGTTTAACATAACAACAAAAGTATGCAGTCATCATGCAAAAACAATGGATTTTTCTTCATTATTTTCATTATAATTCAACTATGTTTTATACATGACAAATTTAAAATATTCTTCCTACGTCAATGTGCTATTAAATCCCGGACTCTGTAAATAGATATTTATTTTATTCACAGCTTTATCATGGATCGCTTTGAAATTTACACGTTTGCATCGCGCGACGCCCCCGGGATCCAGTTTAGGGTTGTAAATATCAATCAGCCAAACGAATTTGGGTTCAGATTAAATACGATACGAAGATTTCGAGTATTGGGGCTTTTTGTCGTTTAAATTGCGTTTCTCTATTTGTCTACGAGAGAATATGCAGATCAGCAGGTTTATTGAGATGTAATGAAATTGCGTTGAATCGATTTTACGACAATGAAATAGTTGGTAAATTATTATCTTATCATAATAAAAATTTCATTGAGTTTCTAAATTGATTTATGATATTTTTTACCTACAGTGTATATACGTATAAAGTGTATAAACAAATTTAGACTGAACTTTAGGAAGTACAAAGACCTATTTTGTACCAAAACGAAAAGTGGAATTAATACTAATAGCACTTCTCCTAAAGTTTATCTTAAGTAAACACTATTTCAAATGTCCGAGCATCATCAGTCATCATCTGGTAAGACATCATCCCCTAATCTCACAAATGCAGTTTTTATGTCCATCTAGAAATCACCCTCTTAACTTATGGACAGAGTAGAGTGAAAGATTGAAGCCACGCATGATGCGTTTTACTCAAGCCGGGTAATAAAAATTAATCATCGGAGAAATTTTATCATAATTCATATTGATTTTTAGATTGATATAACAGAGTGGTACAGAATTTAAATCCGCGGGTAAAAAGATCAACCACTGATATCTCAAAAACAAGTACTTTTAGAAACTTTCTAACAATAGTATTTGAAAGTAGAGGGAAAAATGTGTATAACCAGCCATCACTTTGCTTCTTACGAGGTCAGTATCAGGAGATAAACAGCATAAAATAAAAGTATTTTATTTCGTTGTTAGTTTTTTTGGTCATGAGCACTGTTGTTTAGTTTTCGAAACCCCAATGTCATTTTTAAGTAAACGATAAATTAGTTGTTATTTTACGTTGTTTTATAAATTGTTATTTTTAAGTTAGATACAACAGTTTTGCTATATAAACTATCTAGAAGCTTACTACTAGATCATTATTTCTGACAAAAACTAGATCAAAGTTATACACATTGTTGTCTCTGTATAAAATGTACCCATAAAATTTATATTTTGCATTAGTTAAATAATGTAACTATAATTTCGTAATAAAAAAAGTTTCGGGACCTGCTTGTAACTTGGCCGTCCTATTTTTCCCGCCTATGGGAAAAGTAAAAAGGACCAGTTGACAAATTTTTGAAAAACAGCAAAAAAAAGTTCTACATTGAGCGGGGTTTTACTGAACATAGTCAGATAGATAGCTCTTTATTTGATTCGTGTTATTTGTTGTGATATAATTGGTTTGGTTTTCGCAATATAATTATTTGTGGTTAAATTGGACCTTTGTGTCCGGCCCTACCCTATTGTACATCTCAGCTGGAAGTGTCTAAAGTACCATTGTACCATACAAATAAATACTATGAATGAAAATACTAAAACATAGTAGATCTTATGATTACTGATCTTATTAAATACATCACATCAAACATATACACACAAACACTTATATATTAATACAGAATCTGCTTCTATACATATTTTACCTTTGCTTGCAATTATCAATGACACATCAACGTAGCTAATTCTATCTATTCATATACCACAGATAGAAATAAGTACGCTGGTATTTCATCGATCATACAAATCCATTAGTCCAATTTACTTTATTTTTAAAACTAACATTCATTTGCTTATATC